AGGAATGGAGGTTTTCCCTTGCCAGTATTTGCAATACCCCACAAGTGATAAGGTCAGCATCCCTCATAGGCTCACATAGCTGGTAGGAAGGGGCACTGGGAATTGTCCTTTGGCATGTTCCCCTGAGTAGTCATGTCAGGGGAGCCATGTAATTCCAATGAAAATAAGACTATTTCTTGCTCTTCATGCTGGATTGGGATACCCATCCTGCTGTCCCCAAAACCAGCAGTGTTGTAAGTCATAGATAGGTGATATTTACTATAAATATTGGCAAATATTATACAACTAGCCTTCCAGCACACTGAGAGGTTCATTTAATTAATATTTGAGACCATGGGATGGAGTCACAGGACTGTAGTGTACTTAAGTATCTAGCAACATGGACTTAGTTTACCTGTATTTACTTTTTTTTTTTTTTTTTAAAAAACAGAATTACCTCTCCAAATTCACTATTTAGGAACCTAGGAAGCAGGACCCTCCTTGTAGACATGTAGCTCACATGTTTAAGCACTCCTCTGGCATGTCTAGAGTCACTGGAAGACGAGGCTAGTAGTTTCAAAAGCAAGTCTCTGAACAGAGATGGTAAACAAAAGATTTGGCTACATCATTGACTTGATCTGCTCAAATGGCTTGGCCTGCATCCTGACAAGGTCCTTGCTCAAGGAAGCCAGACATCAAGAGAATCACAAAATTGTGCTCTCCCTTTCCCCTACAGTTAAACATTAATTGCATTATCACTGTCAATTAAGGGATACTCTGAGCTCACTAGCTCCTTTGAGACACTGCTGTAGAACTAAGCATTATCCAGGAAAGAGATGAAAAGGCAGGTAGAGCATGCAACATTAGTCACAGCCAAGATAAAATTAAGCAACACAAAAAGAACTTACGGAAAGGCTCAGGCTTATCTTAAGTACATATACAGGCATTTACTGCAGTACGTGAACACCTCACAAACTATACGCATATTTACCCTCACAAGGATGTCATAAGAGAGTCTATCATCTTCACAGGTGGAAAGCTAAGACAGAGATAGACAAATTCTCTGCAGTCACATGGGAGATCACTAGCACCATTTGAAGTTGTACCTTACTCCAAGGCAGCTGCCTCAGGCAAGTATCCTATGGTTCCTGAATTAAGAGATAGAAGTGTTCTCTAGCCCCATGAACTTCTTTCCTTTTGCACTTAGGCTCACTACCCATGCAAGTGCACTTCACTGCAGTGCTTTACTGTTACCTGTGCCCCCACCACACTTACACTTGCCGACCTGCCACTGCAGAAACACCACAGTAGTCCAAAAACAGAGAGAGAGAGCCCAAGGGACAAAGTCAGTAGTAGCCTCCTTCTGAAGAAACAGTTGGTTAAGACCCAGAACCCCCTTATTTTCCTTAGTGTTTTAATCGTGGAGCATCTCCACAAACTAGCATCAGCTGTGAGCGAGAAGATGATAAACATAGTGGGTGCAATTTAGGAATTGGACCTCTTGTCATGCTTATGCCTAAGGGAGGATCCCAGCTTCTCCTGCACCGTCAGGAAAGTCTGAGTGCTTACCCATAAGCATTCAAATGTATGCATAGCATGCATAAATCAGGCTGGGTGAGTCAGGCAATCAGCCAGCTAATTGCAGGAAGAGTGCTCAGCTGAACATAAACCTGACCATCTGAAAGCTCTCACACCATCGTCTTAGCATAGTTCCATTTACCAGCCTGTGGCATGTGTGCACCCAGGTTCCCAGATCATGCATT